TCATCATATGCCGTCAGATGGCCGTTAGAGATGGTTATGGCGATGGATTGAAACGTGGTCTCAAGTGGACGTTTGACCAACAGAAGTAAGATTACTTTGGTTTTCTTCAAATTAAACCTGTTTCATACACTGTAATTTGTCAAAGTTATAATCTCGTATATCTCGTTAAAATAAATATTAACAATATTAACTACAGATATCGCAACTCGTAAGTTCATGTGCAGAAGGTTTACAGTCCAGATTTTTAGCAATCACCCTGGCATTTTTGGTGTCAATATGCAATTATGTATGGATTATGTTGTGAGGTCTTGTAAAATGTGAATTAATCATTTCACTTAACTGCTAGGAAGTAAAAACAGAGAATTAAATTTTTAAAAGTATTTCAAAATCATAAGCTACATATATGTTGTATTTTACTCTAATCGTAGGCCGCACGATGCAGAAAACCACCCTATGACCGAACACATTATAACGTTTGTCAGGGGATGGGCTGGGAATGCTGAAGCAAGTGAGGAGGTAGTGAAATGTAAGTAAATTGCCAACACTGCATTTTCTTATACTGAGGAACTCAGCAGTAATCCCTACTAAAAGCAACTGTGAAATTAAGCGCTTTTTAAGAATGATGCTCCAAAAATCATATTACTAATTTAATTATTATTTTATTAACTATTTGCATAACCTAAATGGCTAGACAACCAGTTCTCGTTAACTTGATGAACACATTGTTTATAAATCCAACAACTGTATCCACTTGGAAGTTGTTAGGTACTGTACGTGTCATAAAGATGCATTTTCCATACGATATATATATCGTTTATTGTCTAGGTGCCATTAAAAGATACTTTATCACAAAGAAGCAGGAAGATGGTCTAAAGAAACAGAATCAACTAGAGGTGCAGAGGCAGAAGAGGGTTAAATATGAGAGGAAGAAGGAGGTATATACCGGGTCATTTTCTCTAGATCCTGTAAAGACTTTTTGGATGAATCTTTTTTCCTAAATCTGTAAATTTTTATAGATGGGTCTATTTTCTAAATCTGTATGTTTTTGGATGGATGTTTTTTCTAAATCTGTATGATTTGTATAAAAAGATTTGGAATTTCATGGAAGAGACAGAGTATTGTTGAATGTGGTAACCAATTAGATGGAATGTTTTGCAGAACATATACTCATACTTTAATTGATTTTTTTCTTCAGAAAGCCAAAAGAAGGATGAAGGCGCTGCAGATCCTGTCAGCCCAAGGGTGGCAGTCTGAGGTCCGGCGCGCACAAATCAGGAGCGCCATTGAGATAAAGTATACGTCCAGCGATGAAGAGTGTGATGACGGATTCATCACACACCCCCCATCCTGGCAAAGTGACAAGTTTGCGCAGGTTAAACGTGCATTAGACAGGTGTTTTGTTGATAACTGCTCGCACAAGAGCAGAAGGCTACTGCAAAATAGGAAGATAGGAGCAGTCCACGTCAAATCTGCCCCTAATTGTCCAGAGGATGTCTCTTGGATTGTAAAGAAAGATTAAAAAGTTTTGTAAATTATTTTCAGTTTTCCTGAACAAATACTGCGTTATTTCAAATATTATAGAATTTTCTTTCATTATTATTATTATTATTATTATTATTATTATTATTATTATTATTTTGTTTTATATGTAGTTTTATTACAGACTGGAGAGACGGCTATGTACGTCAAGTTTAAAACATACGTAACTGCCACAAGTAATTAAATTTCAATACGTTCCAGGGAATGAAGACATTTTTATCTGTACTGAGAGTGAAAGCTATTCAGAACATTTGACATAGAATAAATGACATAAGTTAATGACGTGCGTTGTTTTGTTTTAGCAAAATATGATTTTATGCCCGCGGCTAATATTACATTTAATAAGCTACAAAAGTAGCAGAAATGTATTCTTTTCTACTGTTAAAAGACATAAAAAGGTGATCTTTCCCGTGATAAAAAGATGTACAAAATTTAGCCATTTGCATACCTTTTATAAAGTAAAATATCACATGTTCGTAGAAAAAAGGTATCTAAAAGTTAACTTTGGTGACACGAAAAGGTAACGGAAAGTGAACCATTCATATGCCTTTCGACATGCAAAAGTCTAACGAATGATGATCTTTATAACGCCTTTTTTGTGAAACAAAAGATCACATTTTGTCGCAAAAGGCATATAAAAGTTAACCTTTTGTGTGTTAAAAAGGTGAAGAAAAGTGGGCCATTTGTACACCTTTTTCTCTATATAAAAGCCATAAAAAAGATGATCTTTTACGCCTTTCCTAAAAATTCGAAAGGTCTAGGAAAGGTGTAGAAAGATGTATAAAAGAAGGCCTTCTCATCAACTTTCAGCATATACAAAAGCCAAGTTTTCATGCAGTGACAGAATCTGGAAGGATTGCTCCTTTGCATTGCATTGGTTCTCGTACTCTATGTTAACTAGCTTGGCGTCCGGGATACCCAGCTGTGCACGTGCCAGCATGCGGACATCTTTGAGAGAAACGTGCTCACTTATTGCCATAATCACCTCGCGGAGAAGATGGGTCTGAAAAAATAACATCGATCTTGACGTTTTAGATCTTGACTGAGCATGCTGACCACCAGAAAAAATAATAAAAGAGAAAATTAAAAGGGAAACAAAAACGGAAAATAAAGATAAAAAAGGAAGCACATTATGGCTGATTACTTTACAAATGACGAATTATTACATCATTTGACAGTACTAACCTGTATTGGTGGCAAGGCATATCTATGCAGAACTATCTTAACGTGTTCATGGTCCCTTTTTACAGCCATGTCATATGCTGTTTCTTTGTGCTACAATAGTAAGGGAACACTATAAATATTCAGTCGCATCATTAACATAACTTCGATTTTGAGATTTGACATATTGTATTTTTTTACATGAGTGCTGTAGAATTAACATTTACAAGAAAACAACAATATGCTTACATCTACAAGGGACACACGTATCTGCAATCAAATAACCCAATGATTGGGAAAGGAGTCATAATGTGCCTGTATGGTAGAATCATCATCATCATGTATGTTACCAACCAAGTTCAGGGTATTTTGTCTATATAATATCATGTGTCCACATACCTCATCGGTGATATGAGGATCAGCTCCATGCTCCAGGAGAAGCTTCACGGATTCTTCATGGCCAAACAATGCTGCCCAATGTAAAGGAGTTCTGCCATCCTGGTAACAATAAATAACTACTATAATGATAAGATCCGATGTTGTCTTTCTTCACATTTCATTCATATATTTTATGTGTGCTGATAAAGGTAACACTGAGTTGAAATAATACAAGTTTATATTCAACACTGAAACGCTTCCTTTGCCAACGTGAGCAAACAATATAAAGAAGGAGAAATCATACAGTGCGTATATAAAGAGGCACTTCAATGTTTGCATGTGATGTCCTGTCTCATGTTTTCAATATATATATTGTATTAACTTATTGTTACCAAACAATAATAAGAGCAAAATGTATCAATTCTTTGCAATAAAATAGTTGGAGTATACAAATTTTAAATGTATCAAACCAAACAACTAACTCCAGGGTAATTTATTTATATAACATTATATGTCACAAACCTTATCCGTGATAATAGGATCAGCTCCACGCTCCAGGAGAAGCTTCACGATGTCCTCATGGCCTTCATATGCTGCCCAATATAATGGTGTTCTGCCCCACTGGTAACGGTTATATAAGGAATCGTAATGTGTTTGTACGGGAAGTTAGATATATCAGTGCAGTTTTGAACAATGGCTTACTTTTCATATTATTTTTAAACGGTAATTATATTATAAAATAAAATAACAAATTTAATTAATTATTCTAAACATTGTGTGATGAATCATCTATTCAGCAAAATCCAGTGTACATGTATGTTACCAACCAACTTAGGGCATTTTGTGTATATAATACTATGTATCCACAAACCTCCTTGGTGATATTAGGATCAGCTCCATGCTCCAGGAGAAGCTTCACGATATCTTCACGGCCTTTATCTGCTGCCACATGTAAAGGAGTACCGCCATCCTGGTAACAATAAATAATATCTATAATGATAATACCTGATGCTGTCTTTCCTCACATATCATTCATATATTGTACATGTATGTAAGGAAAGAAAATGGATAAACTTGCACCTAACTGTTTACGTGTAACACCGGTCCCATGTTCTCTTTCTTTACATTGTATTCACTTATTATAAACACATAAAAAGTAATCAACAAACTCATGAATCGTTTATGACAAAATAGTGGAAGTGCATGTATACCCTCCTGATGTCTATCAAACCAACTAACAAAGCCCACGGTAATTTATTTATACAACAATACATGTACTGCCACAAACCTCATCCGTGCTATTAGGATCAGCTCCATGCTCCAATAGAAGCCTCACGATGTCTTCATGGCCTCCACACGTTGCCCAATGTAACGGTGTTCTGCGCCACTGTTAACAACAAATGATCAGCATTATGATATCATATCATGTCATCTTTCCTCACATTTTATTTGTTTATTTGATATCTATAGCGCTGAGACAAAAAAAAAAAAAAAAACTAAAGAGAGGTAAAATGTTCTGGATACATAACTAAAAAAAGAGATTAAAATGATAATTATGTTAATTAAATAATACTAGTCTTAACACACCATATGTTTAACAAAATGCCGAGTATGTGGCCTATGGATGTTGTACATGTATTGGAATATGCACCAAAAGTACTAGTAGCCTATATCAAAGATAGACGATTTGTTCTAACTGGCAATTGTCTTCAAAAACGGTCAAATGAAGTTAAATATCTATCCCTGGATTGAATACATCATAGGTAAAGAAAGGAAAAATACATACCAGTATTACCAAATTCGCTAACACAATACACCATACATATACACAAAACAATGGAATATTCTAGGCAGTTTTCGTGGAAAACACACTCGTTGTATAAGCTGCATAATTTGAAACTCCTATATCGATATTAATATAATTAATTATACATATACATAAATATCGCACGAACGGAAATGGGGGCCTAAGACACACCCGTGCATCTTACCGAGTCCTCGGCATTAACCTCAGCCCCGCTGTCCAGGAGTAGTTTCACCATGTATGCACTACCTTTCAGTACTGCTGTGTGCAGAGGAGTCGATTCACACTGGTGAAATCAAAACAATATCATATCATACTTAGGTTTATTCACTGGATTATTATCATATGATCTCACTATTTTAGTAATCTTTGCAAAATTAAGTATTATTCCGGCTCAAGGTTCTGTGGTCAGCTTATGGTCATCATCTGTTATTAATACTCTCTGACCATCATTTGCATTATTTGTTTGGGCGTAATTATCAACAGCCCATAGCTACTAATAAGAATAGCGGTATACATGTAGCCTACCAAGGTTCCGCACAGGGTGATATAACTTGTAGGTACATGTAAAGTTCGTTAGTATTTAGGACATAAATACCACGAATTCTACCACGAATACTCTGTAAAAAGGAGGGGTGCGCTTTGACCACAAGGTTCGTTTGCATATAGGCTAAATGAAAAAAAAAAACTATAAGGATAATCTGCCCCTTTGGCAAGAAGTTTCAAGATGTCCGCAAATGAGACTGGAGGATTACCGTGTGAAGAAAAACTTTAATCTAAGACGCACGTCGCAAGCAATGAAGATGCAAGTGCCACCAGCGTGTTAAGTACGGTACACGCCCTCCCACTTTCCAAACTTAAAGTCTCTCTTACAACCCGTCGTGCGTGCTTAGAGATCGTGCGTTCTCGGAGTTCTTGTCAGGCGTAGCGTTGTCGCAGGATGAAAATTTAATCGCAGCGGACTCACTGTTTTAGCTTTCTAAATGACACTTCCAAACTGAGAGCAGACTGTTCGCACTTATATCGTGCTTATATCGTGCTGGTCAAGTGCGTCGTCTTAGTGTGACGCACTTCACAAGTACGGTAGAAGTACTCAAAACGCACCTTGGAAGTAAGATAAACGCACGGAGGAAGTCACTCACCCCCCCCCCCTTTTTTTTTTGTTAACACGTACATTGAAAGCAAGTTCAACGTACGAGTCTCTTGCGAGGTTAGTACATCGTTTTCGTGGTAAAATACCCCGGAATTTCTGGATGCCTTTCATGTGTTACACGCACGCATAGCGCACTTACTCAGTACTTTTGTCTTGCGTGCTACGAGCGTGCTCCAGGCGTTCTAATTGTCGCAGACAGGTCGTAGCGAAAAACTGGCCGGCCAGTTTTAGGGCTGCGAGCTTTGCGTCGTGTTTACGTCCACCAAAAAAAGTACGTTCCACATGCGTGTATCTTAATACTTGGCAATTTTTTTTGCACGCTAACCGCTCGTAGAAGCGACCACGACCGGTTGTAAGAGTAGCTTAATCAAAAGCAGTGCGGGAGTGCGTCACCCGCCTTCCACGCCCTCCACTGCACCCACAACTCGCAGCGAATGTCCGACCCTGAAACCCGTGCGCCCGGTTGTCACCGAGGTCTTGAAGGAAAGAATAAAACACAAAATGAAACAATAATAAAAGAAAAACAGAAGAAGAAAATGTAATCAATTGATAAAAATATGACCTTGCTGGGAATGATCGAGCAAAAAACACCGCACAGAATGGCATATCTTTTTTACACGAAGGAAAACAATACTGGGCTTAAAAAACAATGACAACACAGTCACCATTGCTTACTTATATGAAAATGCTACAGCTAATCTTAATAATACATTGTGCCAGTGAAACAAAACTAAGTGTCCGTGAAACAGAAAGACCGCCCTCTATGATAGCTAGGGTTATATTGACATGAGTGGGTCCACGTACAAATGAATGGCTTATCATAGCAGACTCTATCATGGAGGACTCCCTCTCACAAGATCCTACTAGTACATGTCATGTACGCTGACGATACTCAGCTGTATACTCCCGGTTACATCAAGAATCGGGAAATTTCTTTAACGGAAATGAAAAGCAGTATTTCTAACCGCAGGGCTTGGATTGCAAAGAACAAATTAATTACACATGTAAAGACAGCAAAACGGAAATATTGATGATCACACTGCCTCGACGCATATCAGATTTCCTATACGAAACTAGGACACCGGCAAAGTACATTTGAAGGAAATGCTATCAAATAATAATAATAATAATAATAATAATAATAATAATAATAATAATAAGGAACACCTAGACTACAGAAAATTGTGATTTCTATGTGTAGCTACTACTATGGAAAACTGTGTAAAATCTTCACCCTAAAATCAAATCTATGGTCTCCAACCTACACACACTGAACAATAGAAGTGTCACCCCCGGAATCAGAGTAATCAAAGTTACATGTATAATGCCTGGTCTACCTATTATGTGACTAATGAGTATAAAACCGCTGTACCATGGAATTGTATTGTTGGTCTTTTTGTGAAATTTGATGTTAATACAATGATACCAGGAGCATATCATTCCACAGACATTTATCTCTCCAAAGTATTGGTTCAGTAGGGTTGACACATCTATTGTCCAGTATGTGTATTTTACATTTGAGCCAGGAAGCCAGGCCCCATTATAAAAAAAAAGATCTATTGCGTGTCTTGTGAAAAGAAGCGACAATGAAGCCTAGAGGTATAACATATAGTTATTTATAGAACCTGAATATGTTTTTATAGCAAAAATGTATTTATGAATGCATCCTTATGATCGATAGACATAATCTACAATGTAGTGAAATACAGAAACAGTACGTACCAAATACTTTCCGTTTACATCATAATTCCTATCACTCAGGAGTCGCTTCACCTCGCCAGTATCACCAAGAAACACAGCGTAAATGAGATCCATGGTCCGATGGAGTAGTAGAAAGACGGTTCTGTAAGAAGATTTCACCAGAAAAGGATCGCTTTATGACATATGTGGCATTATTTTTTCATCTTGCGCATGAAACGTGGGTTTTACAGTTTTACACTAGAGTTTGTGCGTTAAATGAATTTTATGGATAATGCTCCCTTGCTATCTTTCATCCAGGGCGGATCCAAGATTAGTTGATGGGTGGGGTGGGGGGAGGGGGTCAGCGGATGCGAAGCTGCCCCCCCCCCCTTACCCTTTGGCGTGAGGTTCCAAAAAATGGTACTGAACGCTGCCGTTTGGTAATGCCCCTATTTCACACAGACCACGGATCACACGAATCGACAGGAATTGACAAATTTCAGGATTCGTGAATATTCGTGAGGTTTTACCAATTTTCTGGTCTATTTCGACACGCTCTTCGATTCAGTTACGATACAGGTGCGATAGTGTTACGAATATTCGTGGGATTCGGCTGGAATCGCACGAATATTGGCACATCTCATTAATGAGATTTTTCTGTGTGCTGATTTCCATTTTTAAGAGGGGGGGGAAGTCACATTCATATTATATTCAATACATGAATAAATAACAAATAAACTATTTTCACATGCATGACATATTTCCCTCTTCAATAAATCTGTTATGAAGTTAATGACTTACACCTTCGCATCAGTATGACAAGTCTGAAAATACATGTAGCTAGTATACTCACTTCAACTGTTAAACATAATGAAAGTTTTAAATGTACTTGGATGTCTCTCCACACAAACCAAAAATAAAAATCCAAACTTTGGAAAATCATAAAAAATAACTTTTTAGTGAAAAAACGGCCATTTTCCCATTGATTTAAATGGGGACTAGTGCGTCACGCAGGGTGTAATGCACTTCAACTTGGCATAGTTCTCTTATTTGGTCGGTGACCCCCAATTTCTTTTGCAAAATGTAAATGTACTTGGATGCCTCTTTACATATTTTGTTTTAATTCGAACGTTAGAAAATCATGAAAATTATTCTTTAGTGAAAAAACACCCATTTCCAGTGATTTGAATGGGGACTAGTGCGATATGCAGGGTGTAACATATTAGGGCGTAGTCTCCTATTTGGTCGGTGACCCACCAACTTTTTTTTCAAAATTTTAATGTACTTGGGTGTCTCTTCAAACCAAAAAAATAAATATTGATTTTTAAAAATTCGAACGTTGGAACATGTAACGACCGATCTACCTTAACAGTACCACACCTACCAGTATAGCAGCTCCTTATGTTTAGCAGCCTCACGCGCTTAGCAGGGGAAGTGCTTAGCCAATGTGCTTAGCTTGTGATAGACTTATTATAGATTCATATGCCGGTGAAGCAAAACACATAGCTAAACGTGTAACACTGCCAACGTGTCTAGCTTTTTCTTCTGTGAAACGCTTGAAAAGCTATACGTGCTTAGCTTTTACACATATTTCTAAATGACTGGTCAGTCATTTTTAGTATAGGTGCCTAACGTATGTTGTATGTATTTAAATGCTAAACTCTGTTTTTACAGTGTAGGGTTAGTCAACAGTTATCCTCTTTAACTCTATCTTATTCTCTGTAGCTGTTACTTTACCTTTTAAACCACCTGTCTTATCTGTCACCTAGTTTGTATAATGACTTATTATGGACTTTGATACATGTATCAGTGGTGAGGTTGATCAATATGATAAATCTGATATAAATCATTAACTGGATACACATTTTGACATTTCATATTACACTGATATTTTCCCTCAGTGATTATTTCACTGTTTGCGTGGTCAGAAAAAAAAAGCTGTCATTTGAAACACCAGTGGAAACGTATTTCGGCCGATGGTCTGCAGGTCTTGAAGTGAATCCGGTATACGAATGCAGTACGTTATAAACCATGTCTAAATCAACAACCGTACTTTTTACAGAATCGCTCTACCCACAAATTTTTAACTTAAAGGGATAACAACTGTTCATTTTTTGCCTTAAAAGGAAACAATGTTCTCATGGTTAATGAGTCCGTTCCGACATTAAGAATCAGGCTTCTTGTTATCAATAATCTCTTCAGGTTTTTACAGTGGGTAACCATCCATGGAGGTCAAGTAATCTGATGGCAAGCACACATTTTATAATGATTGCGATAACTGCCTTATGTGGTGTTTAAAAGAATGCATTATATTTCCATGAATTACTTACTATGCAGGTATTGTATAATACATGTATGAATATCATACGGAGGGCTAAATGCCATCTATTTAAATGAACACTTTATGAGATCCCCCCCCCAAAAAAAAATACTTTTTTTGGGTTCTTTCCATATGTTTGAAAATCACCCAGTCATATTCATATTATGTAAGCTTTATATATTTCCAAATTTAGATTCTAAAACCAACAAAGCTCCTGTCGTTCTAGTCTTGTTGCCCCCCTTACGTTGTCATCCCCAACTTGTAGCGTCTGTATTATACACGGCACAGGGTTGCGATACAATC